GGATGGATGGATGGATGGATGGATGGATGGATGGATGGATGGATGGAAAAACTTGTTACAAATGAATTATTTTGTTTGTTGATCATATGAATTTCCTTTGAAAATTGTAAACAAAAGCTAACCATAAATGAGTGATTTATTTTTAACAATTACAACTTTTATGTCATATTGTTGTAAACAAGAAAGAATTATCCCATCCAAAGCTGTGCATGATGTTCAAAAAGCTGAATGAAAACAGCTTTAAACACTGAAAAAATCCTCTCCAGTTATGTAAAAAGTTTGTTCATTAGCTTTGTGGGTTAGTAGCTGAGTCACTGATTCCCACTGAGCAGTAACTGATTGTGTGAACTTTGGATTTAAAATTTATCCCGTAACCATTACAAATAAAATTGAAATCAAAATGTTTCATAAATCGATAAAAAGAACCAAAAGGGTTACATGTTCTTGCTCATTTTTGCAACACAAAATTTGTTTGTTTTTTGGTTAATTATCCATTAATCTGGGTTGACTTCCTAAACCATGACATTTTCAGTCAAATAATGAAAGGAATTAAGTGGAGCTGAGTAGGCGCTTTACTTGAATAATCAAAGTATAAAGTGCTTCTTAACCAAATCTGCTGAAAAGATCAGAAGTAGTTCAAGGAAATGAGAAGAGGGTGCTGTAAAAGTTGAATCTTTTATTCATCACTCCCAGCAGAGCTGTTGAGAATGAGATAATTGCACCATATGTAGCCAGAGTGCTTTAAAAAAATGCACTTTTCCCTTCAGAAAGTTTATTAATTCTCTGTGGCTATATGTAAATGCTCAATGTTAATTTTTCAAGTGTCTGTATTTCCAGGAAATGAACGTTAGTGGAAGTGCTTTGCTATCTGGGCTGCAGTGTTTGCTGTTGTGAAACTAAAGTGTGTTACTCTGTCTGCACTTCTGACTTTCTACAGGGAACCATGCAGAGAAGAAGGCTTTGTTAGGCAAACACTGACTTTTCCTATTTGACAGCAGCTCTGATCAGACATGTTACACACTGTTGGAGAGGAAGTATCAATAAAAACATCAGGGGAACACATAAAAAGTGACCTATACATCAGATATAAATGATAATAATACACTGAGTGAGACCAGAGATTACAAGACAGCCCACAGAGATCAGTGGAGCCCATTCAGGGGTACTTATATTACACAGAGCAGGTACAAGTACCTGATAAAAATCCATTTTAAACTAAATTGCATGTTTTGTTTTTTTAAGTCCAACCTTTAACTGAGGCCAAATATTCTTCTGTGCCAAAAAAAAGTTTTATCAAATGATGTGCAGATTTTGAAGACGTAAAAAAATACATTAATTAGACTCTGAAGGAGGTTTGGAAATGTCTTGGAAAGATGGCAGTGAGGTATTTGACTCAAATATTCAATGGCATATTTGAGGGTGAAAAAATGCCTGAGGAATGGAGAAGAAGTGTGCTGGTGCCCATTTTTAAGAACAAGGGAGATGTACAGAGTTCTAGCAACTACAGGGGAATTAAGTTGATGAGCCACACAATGAAGATCTGGGAGAGAGTTGTGGAAGCAAGACTTAGACAAGAGGTGACTGTGAGCAGCAGTATGGTTTCATGTCAAGAAAGAGCACCACATATGCCATCTTTGCTTTGAGGATGCTGATGGAGAAGTACAGAGAGGGTCAGAAAGAACTCCTTTGTGTCTTTGTGGATTTACCGACTAATAGATGAGGTCAGGCAGGAATCCCATCCCCATGGACTATGATGTTTACAGATGACATTGTGATCTGTGGTGAGATCAAGGAACAAGTGGAAGATAACTTAGAGAGATGGATGTATGTACTCGAAAGAAGAGGAATGAAAGTCATCTCTAGCAAGCCAGAGTACATGTGTGTGAATGAGAGGAAGGAAGGTTGAGAAGCATTAAGTGTAGCACCACTGGACTGAGGAACAGCTTCTACTCAGAAGCTGTTAGACTCATCCATCCATCCATCCATTTTCTTTACCCGTTTATTCCATTTTGGGTCATGGGGGTCGCTGGTGCCCATGTCCAGCAATCACTGTGCGAGGGGCGGGGTACACCCTGGACGGGTCGCAAGTCCATCACAGGGCCACATAGAGACAAACGAGACAAACAACCATTCACTCTCTCACTCACACCTAGGGACAATTTAGAGTTACCAATCAGCCTAACATGCATGTTTTTGGTCTGTGGGAGGAAACCGGAGTACCCAGAGAAAACCCACGCATGCACGGAGAGAACATGCAAACTCCACCCAGAAGGCCCCTGGACCGGGGTTTGAACCAGGGACCTGTTCGCTGAGAGGCAGCAGCTCTACCAGTTGCGCCACCGTGCTGCCCGCTGTTAGACTCATGAATTCCTAATCAGGATTATCACTGTGAGAGGAAAAGAAATCACTGTAATGCCACTTGATTGATGTGCTGCTGACTATCCATGCTGCTGATTTATATCATGCTGCTGATTTATTTCATGCAGCTGATTTATTTCATGCTGCTGTGTTCATTCATACTCATCTGCTCACACAGACTCATGTTCGTGCTGCTGTTGTTCAGTGAATTGTTTTTGCACTATTGTGTTTAAAGTATTTCTTAGTTCACATCTTAGATCTTATTACTGTTTTTCTTCACAGTTTATACTTTTGTTGGATGTAACTGGAACCCTGTGTACAAATTTAATTCCATCACATTTACCACATATGATGCGAATGACAATAAAGGACCTTGGCCTTGACCTTGGAACAGTGAGGCTACAAGGAGCAGAGGTCACAAAGGTGCAGGACTTCAAGTACTTGGGGTTCGCTGTCCAGCAAAATGGGGAATGTGGGAAAATAGAGAGTTGAAAAAAAGAGTCCTGTAACATTTGTAGGAATACCCAGAGATACGGACTGAAGAGAACAGACTCCAAGACTCGATAAGTTTTACAGTGTTTATTTATATTTACAAAGTGATTAATGTCATAAAATGCGCACAGGGAAGGACTGGAACCCTGAGGAGTAAGCAGACAAGTTAATACAATATCTGATGGAGTGATAATGTTAATGCTTGTCTTCCTTACAGTAGGGATTGGAGTCAGGATTGGAGTCAGGACTGGAGTCAGGATTGGAGTCAGTCTTGGAGACAGACGATCCAATGGTCCAGGGCGAGGAAGGAAGACATCTGGGTAAAGTTTCTAGCTGGAGGCAGGCAAGTGGTAGGAAGGTGAAGAGTCAACAGAGAAGGCACAGTAGAGCTTAATGTCCACAGAGGAAATCCCGGAAACAGGTGGGGGGCAGAGGTAACCCATTGGCAGGTAATGCTCCATCTCTGACTGCATGTCCGCTGCAGCCTTTTATACTCCTGCAGCTCATCAAGGCGCTGGTCTACAGGTGTGGCTGATTGGTGCTCTCTTGTGGAAGCTGGCAGAGCAGAAGTCCCACGAGTCCAGGCAGGGATGGAGTGGATGGAGAAAAGTTTCAGGAGTGATTTGTGACTAAAGGGTGTCAGTAAAGGTCAAAGGAAAAATTTACAAGCCAGTGGTGAGACCAGCTATGTTGTATGGTCTGGAGACTGCGGCACTGACAAAAAGACAGGAGAAAGAACTGGAAGTGGCAGAAATGAAAAAGTTGAGGTTCTCCTTAGGGGTGACAAGGATAGATAAGATTAGGAATGAGATCATCAGAGGTACAGCACAGGTTGAACAACTGGGAGATAAAGTTAGAGCAGCCAGACTGAGATGGTTTGGACATGTCCAGAGGAGGGACAGTGGGTATACTGGTAGAAGGATGTTAGAAATGCAGCTGCCAGGAAAAAGACAAAGAGGTGGTATATGGATGCTGTTAGAGAAGACATGGAGGCAGTTGGAGTGAGGACAGAGGACAGAGTGAGATGGAGGAGGATGACTCGCTGTGGCGACCCCTGAAGAGGGAAAAGCTGAAAGAAGAAGACAAATACGAAGATGAAGAAGGAGAAGAAGAATTTTGATTTAAAATGTTTTAAATGGTAAAGTAAAATGAAAATAAATAAAAATAACGTCCAGTTTTGCTTCATATTTTACAGGTCTCTTGTAAATGAGTCCTCGTGACTCAATTCATTCATTCAACCTTTTTTTTTTTTCAATGAGACTAACCTGTATAAATAAAGGTTGAATGAACATTCATATGGCATTGCAGTTTATGTGTTACACAAAGCCACTTTTTTTTTACATTAATTAAATATTTCAATAAAAACTGCAACAGCTTATGCTCCAATTAAGTGACCACAGACTCAGATAGAACAAAAAATAAACAAGGGTTTTATTTGAATTACAATATGCAAGTTAATCTAAAGCATGACTAATTGAAATTATTAAATGTGAGATTAGTCTTAAAAGATATTGGGACACATAAGAAATTGTCTTAATTGTTACTTTTAATTTAATTTAATTTTTTGCTCTTCGTCTGGACTGCTTTAATGCTCTTTACTCAGGTATTAATAAAAACTCCTTTCATCGTCTCCAGTGGTTCACACTGCAGCAGCCAGATTCATTATCGAGTCTAAAAGCCCCAAACATCATCCTTCTGCACTGGCTCCTTATTAGATTTCTCATTGATTTTTAAATCTTCTCACTGCTTAAATTCAAAACCTTAAATGACCTTGTTTCGAAATACCGGTATGCATTTCTTGACCTTTTAGGTTATGTACCATTTAATCCTTTTAGATCCATGACAATATGCTGTCAAATCTCCTTTAAAATGATCTTAAAACTGGCATTTGTGTAAATATTTGTGAAATGTTTGTTTGTTTCGCTGGTGATTTCATTCTGAGCATGTTTCGTCAGAAGTTTTACCTGCTTCTAACTGTGCTCTAATTATTGCCCACTAAATGTAAGACACTGACTAATCTTAAGTACGATACACAACCCTAGGTGAAGCATTTAAGGAGAACTAATATCAGCAATTTAAGATTGCTTAAATTACCTTTAATTAAGATAGGGAGAGTTAATGGTCAATTATATATATATATATATATATATATATAGTGTGTGTGTATATATATACACTGTAATTCTTTTTTGTCATTAGGTTATCCTTTTCTAACAATGTAACTTACTCATTTAATGAAATAAGGATGAGAGACTGCAACAAAGCCAAGATTCAACTTGTCTGCTGGCCTCCTTAGATAGAGAACTTTACTAATTGGCTTTTATGTATGTGAATGTTTCTGTAAAGTGCCCTGAGACAACTTTGTTGTGATTTGGCGCTATATAAATAAACTGAATTGCATTGAATTGAATCTTGCATCTCAATTCCAGTTTTTGCCAAAAAAACAAACAAAAACAAAACATTTAACGAAATAATTTACTGAGAATTTAAAAATTCACTGTGTTTTCAGAGATAGGAGAATATGTGCTAAAGTTCAGCTGCATGCTTAGAACTGCAAACATTTCTCATTCTTATATCTTTATGTCTGCATTGACATTATCACGTGTGCTTTCCATTATTTTCATTTAATGCTAACTTTTGATTTCACCAGAGTATCTTTCGGTCTGGCACATTATCATATTCTTACCCATTTTTTTCTAATTCAAACGTGCAAAATGAAATTGCAATTTGAAGTCCTGGTTTTGAACTCAAATCAAAAGGTCAGCCATCCCTCAAAGAGAGGATATTCAAAATGAAAACATCAGCCCTGAAGCTAATCCCATTTGATTCTCTCTGTTGAAATCAAACAAGTGTCATCATTTCCTTTGTGCTCCCGTCTGACGGCAGCCCGTCGAGGGAACATTAGTTAGCAGTGGCAGGTTATTTGCTCAGTTCGATGCATCTGCTCTGGTATCTGCAAAAGGTGGCGGTGTCACGCGTCTCTGTTTTCTGCTCTGACAGAAGCCTGTATAACATGCCAACTGAGACTTTTCAGTGCATGATTTAAAACATGTGTCCTTCCCTTTCTGTTTACAGTGATAACATACTGGTGTTGGATATCTACTTTGAAGCACTGAACTATGAAACCATAGAACAAAAGAAAGCCTACGAGCTGGCAGGGCTTCTCGGTAAGAAAATGGCTGTGACGTTTGTCTTCTTTGTTTTGGGGAATAGATATTATGCAGTATGCAGCATGACAGATGCTTTTATCCAAAGTGACAGGAGCACAAGCACTTGTGTTTTTATAAAAGGTGTTCAGGTCCCTGAAGACACAAAGCTGCCTCTTTATTCTATTGTTGCTTGTCAGCAGCAGAATTACAAACATCTGTGTTTCCTGTTGCATTCCTCTACTTTCTCATGTTGCTATTAAAAGCATGAACATAACGCACTGAAATGGTTACATCTTTTTATTTGCGTTCTTGTTTTTCAGGTGATATTGGAGGCCAGATGGGTCTCTTCATTGGGGCAAGCATCCTCACTGTTCTTGAGCTCTTTGATTATCTGTATGAGGTAAAATGTCTCCCATCTAACTCTTAAATGCAGAAAATGACCTTAACGTTTGCCACATTTGCATTGTCAAACATGTACAGATGTTGTATGGTCCAACATTTTGCAAATATTGAGCTAACCTATAATTTAATAGTAGCTGAGAGTCATCCCCAACCCATTCTCTAAGCGCTAACAGTTTTGTTGGGTCTCACAGTATCACATGAGATTATGCATGATGTCATTTACAAGTTTTGATCAAAACAGTTATAATTCTGTCCCTTCTTATAAGATGATTTTAGTTTAAAGCTCAGCCATGAAAGGCAATATTCATTCCTTCAAGTTTATTTTCTTATTTAATGCTGTCATGCATACTCATTATGGCAAACATGAAAAGCACTCTTTCTCCCAGAATCCTGCAGTCTTATGCTGCACAGCACAATTATTCTTAAACAGCAGCAGCAACCCCGGTTGCCTGATCCCTATGAATGTGTTATAATTTACATTAGTCAGGATGTGTAAGTACCACTTTACCATGAGGCTCCCTTTATAGATGGCTAATAAATAGTTTATATATACATTATTAGTTCCTCTATAAACACTTTATAAATCATTAATAATTGTTTATTATGCATTAATTAAGGGTGAGAGAGCCAAAACTGACCAGTTTCTTGCCAAATAGTGAGCCAAATCTCTATTTCATCTAGCGTTGTTATATTAAACATTTCAGATTAAGTCACTACCTTGTAAACACAATAAGCATTTGTAAACCTATTTTTTTAGTATATAATATTGTCCTTTATCACTGCATTGTAAGTATCTACAACTAATATTATATCCTAAAACATTTAGGTTTACAAACGCTTATTGTTCTTACAAGGTAGTACCTTAATCTGAAATGTTTAATATAACAACTCTAGATAGGTGAACAGATTTGGTTCACTATTTGGCAAGCAACTGGTCAGTTTTGTCTCTGTCACCCTTAATTAATGTATAATAAGCAGTTATTAATGATTTATAAAGTGTTTATAGAGGAATTAATAACATATCTGTAAACTATTTATTAGCATCTATAAGGGGAGCCTTGTGGTAAAGTGGTACCGATGTGTCTGTCTGGGCTGTATGCTTCTTCTGAGCTTTAGCTTTTGTGAGTAGTGCTGACTGGAGGGGGTTTCAATTAGAGATATGAGTTTATGAGCTGAACAGAGTGAAAAGAAGCTTATTTCTAAGTATAGGCTCGACAGCGAAACAGATTTATGCACATTTAGTCAATCTATTTTACATTCTGGCTAGCCTGCTTCATGTATGTGGGCTTGGGTTATGAAACCCGAAAGAAGTAGAGAATATCTTGTCAGGAACCAGGAGCAGCAGCAGTAAAATGGTCCTTTGTCTGCTTTCAGGTGATCAAGTACAAGCTGTGCAGATGCATGAAGAAGAAACACAAAGGCCGCAGTAACAACGACCGGGGAGCTGTGCTGAGCCTGGATGATGTGAAACACCATGTCAGTAGTCTGCTACCTTGAGTACCTTGAATGTGTCAGACTGCACCGCTTTGACAGGAGCAAAGTCTTTTCTTCTTTGTCTTTGCTGGACTCACTTGGTCAGGGTGGTGCTGGTGAGGGGAGCAAAGACACAAGAGAGAACAGAGTGAGATGGAGGAAGGGGAATTTAGAGGCCCGACAGTAAAATGGGGAGAAATGACTGGGATGAGGAGGAGAGAAAAGAGGAGAGTGGAAAGTGGTTTGAACTTAATCAAAGCAGCAGGACAGGCCAGAATAAAAAGCTTTGGAAGGTGTGAAGCCTACTTAAATCTGAGAGTGAATGAAACCAGTCTGCTTTAATTCGAAGTCAGCATGCAGGCGAAGCAAAAGGGAATGGTTTGTTCCTCCTGACTCACTTAGCAGTCTTCTTTTTGCATTACTTTTCAGCGTTTTCCTCCCAGTCTAGCTTGTTGCTCATGTCATATTTAATAGCACATGCATACAAATTTTTCAATATTTTCTCCCTGTTTACAAGATTGTTTTCTCTCTCTTTCAACGCCAATCACTTCTTAGCTTCGTCTTCATGTTTCTTTCTGCTTATATTACATTTGTCTTTCTCACCGTTCCTTTTTTCTCTCAGGCTCCCTGCGAGAATCTTCTTACGCCATCAACATATCCTGGGAACATGCTACCTCACCATCCGGCCCAGGGCAACTTTGAAGACTTCACTTGTTGAGCAGAACCTTGCAAAGCAGCAAAGTGCGCGTTATGCAACCAAAGCCAACCACTAAGACAGCAAGGACTATCTGACGCTCAGACGCTCAGAGACTGATGCTAAATCTAACAAAAGCACTTTTTACTTAAAGACTAAAACCTAAATAAATAAATGAGACGTAATTTTCACCCAAGGCCAAGTGAAGAGAAAGCTCTGAATATTGAAAAATATATATATATATTTTAATTTTAGGAGAGCATTTCATGCAGCACTCAAAGCTGTGTTTTCTCTGGAATACTGCCGCAAAAGGACGAAACTCGTGGAGACACGTTGCCAACATGGAACTCTCCTGTAAACGACAAAAAAATTATAATAATAACATGAAGATGTACATTCATCCCACCGTACAGAGCTGGGCAGACAACGAAACCCCCATGCCTTTATATAACACAGCAACCCATGATGAATTCACGCAGCGCCTGCACATGTGACAATACTCATGACGCTTACTCAACTTTACATGTAGCAACGTGTGTGCCCGCCGCGACCACTCATACAGCGACAACCGTGTGGTCAGTTTTGAGAATGTATTTCTGTTCACGGTGAGCGCAATCGAGCGTTAAGGGGGGAAACTTTCAGAGGAAGCTGCGAGGTAAGCGGTGCTGGTAGAGATGCAACATCTACCATTCAACAGTGTGCTGGTGAAAATTTCAGGTTTCATCATCATGTAAATGCATGCTCGTATTTGTCCAGTGCATGTTCTTTTTTTTTTTTCCTTTGGTTTCTACTTCGGATTGATTTCTGTCTTTCTATGAAAATATACATAAATATATATATGAACATTTACATTATAATTACCAAGTTTGCCTCAGCGAAAAGCAGGTAAAGGAAGATGATGCATCTCATATAATCATGTGTGTGTGCATGTGTGTGTGTGTTTGTGTGTGCGGTTTGACTGTGACCATTAGTGCCCAACCAGGTGAGTGTTTGTTGCAGATGGATGAGATTTGCCTAGTTTCATTTTGCATCTTGTTTCATTTTCACGCGTGACCGATAAGTCAAATCTTTACTTCATTTACTCTTGAGTTGAGGTGAGGTCATGATGTTTGTTTGTTTGTTTCTCCTGGAGAGTGGATTGATGATCCTGTGGGGCTGTTAAAAACATTTCTGTATCTGTATTCTAGTTGCAAAAGTCTTATCGAAGCACAATACTGTGAGTATGTATAGGTGAAATAAAAGAAATGTACTATTCTTCTTGATATATTGTCATACTATTAATATTGTGTTTTTGTTTGACTTCTTATGAAATTTACTCAGTATTGCCTGATAATCCTGTCTCCTTTCTTCAGGTTATAGGATTGTCTATTTAGTTATGAAAGCATTAATAAAACGTAACAATGGTTTTAGAAAATGATTTGTCTTGTGGGGTTTCTTTGTACGTTTTTAGGCGGTGGAATGTGCACAAAGATGCAACACAATTAATTTTTCAGCACCGAACAGAGTGCGAATGCTTGTTTTTATTTGCGAGTAGCTCTCGGAAAATTTGATAAGGCATCTTTTCATGCACTTCACTATCTGTTTTCTCTAATCAACATGTAATCTTCAGTTTTGCCTTGCATAACATTTTCTCAGAATTAAATTTGCATCAAGAAAAGAGTTTGGGGCAGGAGTGTGGAATTAAGCAAGATATTGCTTATCGCTGTTAACCTTTTTTTTGTTGTTGGTGCAGTTAAAAGGATCCAACCCACACAGGTGTTGTGTTTTTTTCCGCTCATGTTCTTGAAACACAATTACACTTTCAGCAGATAGATGACAAAAGGATGGATGAGAAATATCCTGCTCAGCCGATTCAATTTTAATCAAGATTGTCAATCAGCTAGCAGCCAAACATTTTGGGTGATTTCGCTCGTTTTCGGCTGGTACTGCTAACTGCTGCTCCGTGATGCACAACTTTGAATATTAGACACAGAAATCATGTTTGTCACTTGCTCTGATGCGCATCGGTCCATTTCTACTCGGCGTCAGGGGTCATTCGAAGATGAGAATTTTACCTTGTTTTTGCCTTATCAAATTTTCATATCATCTTTGAGTGGGAAAGTTGTTCATCAAACATGAGCATGCATTCATTTTTCATTATTTCCAAGGAGAACCCTCAGCTGGAAACCATGCATTAATATACAAACTTTAAGCTCCAGTTAAACATACATCTAATGAAGAATTTCCTGTTTAAAGTATCTGATATGTGAACTTTCCCCATTGTTTTATTTTTTTCTCTTGTGCCTACTAAGAAGACAAATTAATGAAGAAATAAAGATTAAAACTCTTCTTTTTCAACTGCCATTTGTGTCTTTGTCTACGTGACAGTCTGAATTTGAGAAAATTGGAACGAGGCTCAGAATACAGGAGAGCTGCCTGCCAGTGACAGGAATCCTGCAGGAGATGCTTGCTGCATCCTGATAAGCCTCCATGGGCAAAGCAGGGGGGATTCTGTGTGGGAGGTGGTGGTTACACCAGCAGGGGTTCAGACAAACTAAAAATCTTAACAAAAATGAGAGATTATAATGACTTTCCTGCAGTTTCGAGGGTATTAATTGCTCAGATTTCTGTGTTAGCAGGTCCTAAAATCCTGGCAAGCATCACTCCTTCCTGATGGATGTTAAAATCATTATGTGCCCTCGATGGCTCCCAGACAGAGAGATCAAAGATAACTGATCCCTCCCTGCCCTCACCTTGCTGGCTGACGCTCAGCCAGTCTGCGGACAGTACAACAAGCAGATGCTCCTGTAATGGAATCCATCCCAAATGGTCTGCCCTTTTTAAAATGCTGGAACATCCTCAGTTTATCACAATGAGCAGCTGGTAGTGATTTACGGAGGGGGGTGCTTTTTATGCAGGAAATCTCCAATGTTTGTACGTTAATGAAACGTGTTGTGTTTCTGTTTTCACCCATATCTGACAATTTAATCTTGCTGTGTGCTTTCACTGAACTGACTCGCGCACAAATTAGAGGCAATTCCCTCTTAATCCTTTTATTTCATCTTATTATCAGCTGTGATACAGATATTATACCCCAGACGTGCAATCCCACAGTGAGGCAAGCAAGCTTTGTTTTGTTATTCTCGATTTGATTGTACTCCTAAAGTCGGCAGATGAAAAATTATCTTTACTGTTTCATTTGTTTGTTTCATGTTTTTCCATCGCTAGTGTTTTGTTTTCACTTTTTTTTCTGTTTCATAACTGAGACTTTGGCTTAATAATATACCTGAAAATGTTCACAAACTTACAACTTACTTACAGCAACAATTAGGCTAGTAAAAAGGACCTAACGTCTCTGCTTTTATTTCATGAATGTATCAATAATCATATGTTATTATGAAACTGATTGTTAACATGCTTTACTTCTTACACTGGTTAAAAACTTAATATAAGCATAGAATTGTTGGATTTCAATTATTCTGACCCAAAATAGCCGCTTCGCCCCTGTGATCCTTCATGTGCACTGGGCTATTTTAGATTTCTGCCCACTGGTGACTGTACAGTACAGAAAGGAATGTTTGATCCGACTCGGCTCTCCAGCTTGTTTCCATCCCTGCAGCTCTGTCTGTGTGACGGATCAGTCACATTTCTGGCATAAATTTATCCTGTCAGATCTTTCAGCGCAATTAGAGTGCTCAGCCGTTTGTCATAGATAAGGCCATGGCAGCTCCTCTGGGCTCCACTTTACATTCAGTTCATTAAGAGGATTAATTATTGTCATGCAGTCAAGTTTGATACTGAAAAGATGCTGTATTAGCCTTCAAACTTGGGCATGCCTCATTTGGCGTTTCATTTGTTTAAAGTATGACTCTATATTTAATTATTTATTATTAAACCTGTTTGGCAGCCTATGTAAAGCCCTGAACAGAGTGCAGACCAGCAGTAAACCACATTGCTCCTACCCCTCATCCATCGTGCACACTCACACAGGCCCTTTCTGATCAAACAGAGAAGATGCAAACAGATGTTTTGCACTGCTGTTTCTCCATACTAAATGTGGAAAGTAATGGCATCTAAGTTTACAAAGACTTTGTTGTGATCCTGTTGCAAGAACACAGCTGGTCTTTCTTGGTGTTACAGTATAACATGGGGGCACTTATGATGTTCAACATCGTTTCTCTGCCTACGTTGTCTGAGCAAACATCACAGCATGAATTCAAAGATGACCACGTGTCAAATGAACATCGTACCCAGACTGAGGTGCTGTGCATGTGATTCAAATCACCTCTCAAACGTAGAAGGAGACAGCTTATTAATGTATGAAGCCCTGCTGTGATGAAAGGGAAATCCAGTGTTTGACATGTGTGATAGCTGTAAACATTCAGGGGACAGTTATGTGACTTTAGCTTTAAGAGAAGAAGAAAAAAAAGAATTGCTGCAGAACTTTCTACTTTGTTGCTTTGGTCTTTTTTCCATTACAGGATTTCTTACATCTTTTCTGACTAAACATGACTGATCTGCAAAGATGTTTTGGGAAGGTGCAAAATGTCAACTTCTGTGTGAATAAATAGATGTTTTTTGTTTTTTTTTTCCAGCAGAAGATTGCATTGTGACAAAGTGAGCAGTGTTACTCACATTTCCTGTCAGTGACAATGACAAACCCTGGACATGAAAATATTTTTCATTTCAAAATGTTCACGGTTGGACTCGAGTGATCTCCAGCTTTGTCTTTGTGCATGCGTTGGGTTTACTGTCAGTCCACTGGCAGTAAACATGAACTCATTAAAAACAGCGGTGAAAAACGGCCTGCTCGTGTCCTTGGGTTCTGTTATTTTTAGGTTGTTCATCAATAATTCTGCACAGTGAAGATGACTAAAGAGAGAAGCCACTTCAGAAGGACACTAGCAACAAACCCAAACACGCAGAAGAGGTTATAATAAGACAAAAGGGTTCTGGTGGTGGTCTCTGTATAGTAAATCTTAACGTCATCAAGTTTTGTGTTGCACAAAGTGACAAAAGACATTGACGCAGCCCAAAAGGATCTGTGGTGAATTGTCTGAATTGAATGGAAAACCTTGAAGAATTTGTTTCAAAGGTAGATTAGGTTTTAAATTAAATATAAATTGTATTTGGGGCACTAGTTTATGTGTTTTCCTTTAATGCAGAAGAGTATGTATAACCTTTCAAGTATACGCTCCCTCCTTGTTTCTCTGTATAAGAGCTACAGACTTTGTTTGGTTTGGTTTTAATTCATTTTTCTGTCCTTGGGAGACAAACGCCTTTACAAATCTGTGAGAAATCACCTTCTATTTTTTATGGTTAAAACCCAGACTGACATTTCTTTTTAGTTTTCACATACAACAATTTCCAGTGGGATCAATAAAGTTCTATCTTATCTTATCTTATAATTCACTTTCACTGTTAGCATTAAACTCATTGGTTTACAGGCACCAAGTATTACAATTATGTCATTTAACAACAATTTCAAAAATGGACACAGACACATTTTGGAGTAACAAACCCATCCATCCATCCATTATCTTTACCCGTTTATTCCATTTTGGGTCACGGGGGTCGCTGGTGCCCATGTCCAGCAATCACTGTGCGAGGGGCGGGGTACACCCTGGACGGGTCGCAAGTCCATCACAGGGCCACATAGAGACAAACGAGACAAACAACCATTCACTCACTCACACCTAGGGACAATTTAGAGTTACCAATCAGCCTAACATGCATGTTTTTGGACTGTGGGAGGAAACCGGAGTACCTGGAGAAAACCCACGCATGCACGGAGAGAACATGCAAACTCCACCCAGAAAGGCCCCTGGACCGGGGTTTGAACCAAGGACCTGCTCGCTGAGAGGCAGCAGCTCTACCAGTTGCGCCACCGTGCTGCCCTGAGTAACAAACCCTCATTTACAAAACAAAACTTAAAAATAATGCAAGTAAAATAATAATATGTCAAAACCCTAAAGTTCTTGATATAAATTGTAAATACACTATATGCACAAGTAGTTCAAATAGATGAACTTCCACCTTATTTCTTAAGGCTGGCCACTCATATCATCACAGTCCCTGTGACCCACATCTTCAATCTCTCCATAAGACAAAACTCCATCCCAGATGGTTGGAAAACAGCCTTTGTTCTTCCTTTGCTGAAGGGAGGTGACCCCACCTCACTGAACAACTATCGACCAATCTCTAAACTCTGCATTTTAGCCAAGGTTCTAGAAAAACTGATAAACTCTCAAATCAAAAATTACCTGGACTGATTTAACATCTTACCTCCACATCAATCTGGTTTCAGGAAACAACACAGCACAACCACTGCTTCACTGAAGGTTCTTAATGACTTTGTTGAAGCACTGGATGCTAAAGATTATTGTGCTGCACTTTTCTTAGACCTGTCTAAAGCTTTTGACACTGTGGATCATAACATCTTGTGTCATAAACTCTCAGAAATCGGTTTCTCAGATCACACCATTGGTTGGTTCTCTATCTTTCAGACCGGAAGCAATGTGTTCAACATAATGGTGCTTCCTCCAGTTATTTAACAGTCAACAATGGTGTACCACAAGGCTCAGTCTTAGGACCCACCCTCTTTACAATCTACATACATAATGTAGGTAAAAACATCCCTAATGCATCCATACATTTCTATGCTGATGACACAGTTGTTTATTGTCGAGCTAAAACAGTTGATAAGGCTTTTCAGCTTTTGAAATCTGCATTCAACTACATCCAGACAGATTTGTTCCGCCTCAAACTTGTCCTAAATGCCGACAAAACCAAAGGGATGCTTTTTTCAAATAGAAAGTTGGTCCCAGCAGTTCTTCCTCCGATTTTATCCTCAAATGGTGTCCCGATTGAGTTTGTTGATTCCATAAATATTTGGGTATCTTGGTTGAATCGCATCTCTCTTTTAAGCTCCATGTGGAAAACTTGGTAAAGAAACTGAAAGTTAAACTGGGTTTCTTTTTCAGAAACAGATCCTGTATAACTCTGAATACTAGGAAACGCCTTGTATCTGTGACTTTCCTTCCCTCCATTGATTACGGTGACATTATTTACATGAACGCTCCTACAAGCACCCTGCAGATGTTGGATGCTGTCTATCATGGTGCACTAAGATTCATAACTGGCTGTGATAATCGTACCCACCACTGCACCCTGTATTCACTGGTTAACTGGACGTCATTAACTTCACGCAGACTCTCTCACTGGTACATTTTCATCTTTAAATCACTTCTTGGTCTGCTGCCTTCATACATCTCCTCCTACATGTCTCTGCGTGAGTGCAGCTACGGCGTGCGCTCTCAGGACATTATTACCTGCAGTGTTCCCTCAGTGAGGACTGAACTAGGCAAGAGGGCCTTCTCATACTCCGCTCCTGTTTCCTGGAATACCTTACAAGAACATTTGAAGCTCTCGACCTTGACCTCTCTTAAGTAGCTTTAGAAATCTGTTGGACTCCTGGCAGGGACCAATGCAGACATGTTCCTGTTTTTAGTTTTCTACATTCGCCTTAGAATCTAGCTGGGTTTTTTGTTTTTTTTTGCTACCTTTTTTTAGCCATCCTATTTGTTTAAAAAAAAAAACTGGAGCATGACTTTTTATAACTGTTTATTGTTGTTGCTGTTGTCCATTGTTGTCATCATTCTTTGTTGAAATCAGGTTTCTCTTGTAAATGAGTCCTCGAGGGTCAATGGGATTTACCTGTCTAAATAAAGGCCGAATGAAAAAAACAACAACATTTATATTGATTTGTCTTGTGATTTTATTAGTTATTTTGCATGTTTACTTTGTTAGAGTTGTTGTGTTGGCATTGAAACGTTATTTTGAAGTTATTTTAAAAAATTTTTTACTCATTTCCTGCATTAATCTTGTTAAGAGCTGTTTGACCTTCAAACCTGTGCATTAACACATCTGAGAGTGCTCACATAAAACTGGGAAAATTGAAAAGGCATGGCTCCACCTGACACACAAACATGCATTTGTGAAAAAAGCCATCTTTCATCTCCGATGACATTTGGAAAATTAAACAGTGTAAATGGACAAAATAAGCAAAGAATCATTTTAAGTTGCCGAGTAACGAAGAGAGCATAAATCAAAGAAATCCCTAAATCCATGACAGAGGAATAAACAAATAAATAAATAAAGTACAATAAATCACAGAGCAGCAAACTGTGGCAAACAATACACAATTTATTAATGAAAAAGTAATCATTGTATTAATTTATAATTAAACATCTCATTAGTTTCAGTCTTACACTGAATACATTAAATTTTATAAGCAATAATAGAAATTTATAATTGACTTGGAATGATCATGATAAAATCTGTGATGGTGTAAAAAATTTTCTTTTAGTAGAGTATTTTTAGTGCAATAACTCAGCTACAGTCTCATGCTTGGCATTTATAGTTTTCAATGCATGTAGTTCCTTAATCTTTTTATTAATGGATTATAATTTACCTATATATTATTACAAAATTCCAGGTTTGTTTTTACTTTTTGCTGTGTGTAGTACTGTCCAAGCCCTTTTTTATTCCCTGATAAATTTGGCAGATTTTCTTGTTTAAAATGTTCTTATGCAATAGTTTTGTTTTTTAAGGGTTTTCTGAAGATCTTGAACTTTTCTTTGAACACTAACATATTTTTTACTTTATTTATTATTTAACATTTTTGGTAGAATGAGATAGGGGCCTGCTGAATTTCTACTGAAAACAAGCCAGTTAATCATTGGCACCAAATTATTTATTGACCATTCATATTTAGTATCTTGGGCATGAAGCTAATAATAAAATCGTTTTAAACATGACAAAAATGGATGGCTCTTATGAGTAAATAATAAATAAATAAAGGGGATTTTATGTACACGTAAACCTTTTTTTTTTTTTTTCACATTACGCCATTACCACCAATCAACAGCAGGAGGCGCTGTGGCATCTTAAACGCCTTTCTTTGCATGTTCTCGCGTTAGCTCCGTACCTCCTTCCGCGGCGGCGGCGACATTCAGAGAGGAGATGGCGGCCAGAGGGGGCTTTCAGACAACGCCGACGGGTGGTGGCGGTGGAGCAATGGGACCTGGACCACCAGTACCGGTTGCAGGACCAGGTATGGGGCCCGGTACCCCCTCTGGAAGAATGGGACCGTCGTCGGCCACGCAGAACCACATGTACCGCTCTCCGATGCCCGGGCCTGGATACCCGGTGAGCTATCGCTCCATCTTTTGCTGCTGACTCGTTAGCCTGTCCGCTAGAACAAAGCCTCCCACTGCTGCTTTGTCACAAGCGGCTAATGTTATCCTCTGTCTTTCCGTGCCGACTAAATTTAACACAAACTGTCGGGCTGCTCAAAAAGAGGCGAGCCTTTTCAAACTTTCTTTTTCACTGCTCTCTTTAGTGGGTTCCTTGTTTAAATGTAGCTAAATCTCCCGCCTGCTAACGTTAAAGTTAGTTTGCAAGTCCCAGCAGCCAGTTAGCTTAGCTTGCTAACTCCGCTACTGCTGCTGTGTTTCGGTAAGTATTTTTCAACAGAAACCCATCGAGAGGGCTCAGACTTTTTACATAAAGTTTAAAGACATAAAATAAACTGATCAATGTTTAAACATGCTAGTCTGTTTGGAGTGAGCTTTTCTATAATCGGCAGAAAAGTCAAGTCTACTTTTGAATGGACAGCCTAGCTGAGCATTAAGCAGTAGCCTTAATTTTTTTAATTTATTTATTCAACTATTGAACATACAGAACAATCCAGTAACCTTAATTTAAAGGCAGTTTCTCAAAAGATAAAGCATGAGCATGAAAAAACTAGAGTCAAACAAAAATTAAATAGCTTTGCTTCTGTGTGGCATATATATATATATATATATATATATATATATATATATATATATATA